GGAGCTTGTCAATCCCAGATCGGCACAACTGTGAATTAGTTCCCACATGTAACCTTCAATGTCTGTATGTTTTTCAAATAAATAAAATGAAATTCAGTGGGGTCAGAAGACATAAAATATCTGGGCAGATCCACAGAATAGGCCTGCTACTAGCTATTTCCTTAGAGTCTAGGTAATACTGATATCCATGGTATTACCTGACACCTAGTACTAGAGATGGAGAGTAAGCACTACAGACTTGCCTTAAGTTCAAAGACATTTATATATGGGTGAAAAGATATTTATGTATGGGATGGTGAAAATAAAGTGCTTCACACTCAGTGTAAGTAGATAATAATATTTCTTGTTTACTATTTTTTTTGGACTGCTGAGTCTCAGTTCTTGCCTTTAAAATATTTATTTTTTAGAAAAGATGAAATAACTGCCCAAAAAATTAGAAACACACGCAAATTAAGTACTGAATAAAGTACGAAAGAGGATCTAGAGAAAAGGATATATAACTGTCTTGGTAATGGTGTAAACATTTCAAAGATTTCTATCAATGTAGGATAAATTTTATGATTTTGTGAGAGACTAAAATACTCATATTTAGATTCATATTTTCTAAAACTTGAATATTCTCTGCATTAAGTAAGTAATTTTTTTTTTTTGAGACAGAGTCTTGCTTTGTTGCCCAGGCTGAAGTGCAGTGGCACATGATCTTGGTTCTCTACAACATCTGCCTCTTGGGTTCAAGTGATTCTCATGCCTCAGCCTCCTTAGTAGCTGGGATTACAGACATGCGCCACCATGCCTGGCAAATTTTATATTTTTAGTAGAGACCAGGTTTCTCCATGTCGGTCAGGCTGGTCTTGAACTCCTGTCCTCATGATTCACCCACCTCGGCCTCTCAAAGTGCTTGGATTATAGGCATGAACCACAGCGCCCCACCAAGTAATTAAGTTTTGCACACAATGGCATAGTTATTTTCTTTCTTTCCCCCTTACCGTTGTCACTGATTCAAAAATGTGTGGTAGAAGACAGAAGAGTTAGGGTTAGTAGAATGTATTCTCTTACTTTGTTTGAATTTGTATAAAAATTGGTGAGAAAAGGAGAGACAGAGACGGATAATGGAAGAGAAGCAATTTGGGTTATGAGAGAAAAATGTGAAGAAAAAGCAGAGAATAGAAGGAAAGAGATGGAGAGAGGAATCAAGAATGAAACAATTTCAAGGAAAAGGAGAAAAATGAAGCGGGTTTACAAAAGACAAAAGGTGAAAAGCCACAGGGCAGATAAAGAAAGTAACACAACAGAAGGCAAAAAGGATGAAAGGAAATTGGAAAAAAATGGAGAGGGGTGCTGAAATGTGGATGGGCTTTCATATCCAAGTGTCCTGTTCAGAGGTCTGACAGGGGCCTGACACGGTGGTGCATGCCTGTAATCCCAGCACTTTGGGAGACCTAGGCGGGTGGATCACCTGAGGTTAGGAGTTCAAGACCAGCCTGGTCAATATGGTGAAACCCTGTCTCTACTAAAAACACAAAAATTAGCCGGGTGTGGTGGCATGCACCTGTAGTCCCTACTACTCAGGAGGCTGAGGCAGGAGAATTGCTCAAACCCGGGGAGTTGAGTTTGCAGTGAACTGAGATTGCACCACTGCATTCCAGCCTGGGTGACAGAGAGCAACTGTCTCAACACACAAAAACAAAACAAACAAACAAACAAACAAAAAAACAAAGGTCTAACAGGATGCTTTCTAAGTGACTTTTTAACTCAGGAACTTCCACTTTACTGGCATTACAATTGCTGAAACGTTGAGTACTGTGAAAAGTAAACAGGAAAGAGGATCCAAGATGGCCGAATAGGAACAGCTCTGGAGTGCAGTTCCCAGCAAGAACAGCGCAGAGGGTGAGTGCTCACCACATTTCCAAACAAGTCTTCACTGCCCACAGACCAAGAGATTCCCGGGCTGAAAAAGGCCACAAGTTTTCAGCACAGGGGTTTCAGCTGGTGTAGGCTCAGCACAGAAACTCACACAAGTCTGGGAGGTTGTTTCCAGTGGCGCCTGGAATGCCTGGGAGACAGAGCTGTCTCTCCAACTGAAAGGGAGGGGGTTGAGACAGGGAGCCAGGTGATCTGGCTCTGTGGGTACCACCCACTTGAAACAAGCAATCTCAAACGCCCTGGATTGAGAGTTTCACAGCAAGTGCAGCTGGACTCAGGATGGTCCAGCTCAGCTGGGGGAAGGGCATCCCCCACTGCCCAGGCCATCTGCCACTACCAAGGCAGTTCACACAGTAGCTGCACAGAGCCTGTAGCAGCTCAGCAACACCTCTGCTGGCAGACTGTGACTAGACTACTCCGTGGGGGGCAGGGCATCTATGAAAAAAGGCAGCAGCAGCATGACAGGAACTTATAAATAAAGTTGACCTTCCTAAGATAGAACACCTGGGAAAAGAGGCAGTTATGAGTTCAGCTGCAGCAGACTTAAAGGTACCTGCCCAGCAGCTCTGTAGAGGACAACGGAGCTCCCACCACAGCATTTGAGCTCCTATAATGAACAGACTGTCTCCTCTAGCAACTCCTTGACCCCCATATACCGAAAGAGACACCTCATTAAGGAGAGCTCAGGCCAACATCTGGCGGGTACCCTTAAGGGACAAGGATAGCAAAGGAAGAAACCAGTGGCAACCCTTGCTGTTCTGAATGCCCCGCAGGTGATCCCCAGGCAAGCGGGTTCTGTAGTGGACCTCAGCAGTCCTGCAGCAGAGGGAACTGACTGTTAGAAGGAAAACCAAGAAGCAGAAAGAAATAGCTTCAACATCAACAAAAAGGACGTCCACTCAGAGACCTCATCCAAAAGTCACCCACTACAAAGACCACAGGTAGATAAAGCCACTAAGATGGGAAGAAACCAGAGCAAAAAGGATGAAAACATCAAAAAGTGAATGCTCCTCCTCCTTCAAGGGATCACAAGTCCTCACAAGCTAGGGTTCAAAGATGGATGGAGAATGAATCCGATGAATTGACAGAAACAGGCTTCAGAAGGTGGGTAATAACAAACTTCTCTGAGCTAAAAGAACATGTGCTAACCCAATGTAAAGAAACTAAGAACCTAGACAAAAGGTTAGATGAGATGCTAATGAGAATAAACAGCTTAGAGAATAATATAAACCATCTGATGGAGCTGAAAAAAACAGCATGAGAACTTTGCAAAGCATACACAAGTTTCAATAGCTGAATAGAACAAACAGAAGAAAGGATATTAGAGATTGAAGATCAACTCAATGAAATAAAATGAGAAGGCAAGAGTAGAGAGAAAAGAGTGAAAAGAAATGAACAAAGCCTCCAAAAATTATGGGATTATGTGAAAAGACCTAATCTCCGTTTGATAGGTGTACCTGAATATGACAGAGAGAATGAATCCAAGCTGGAAAACACTCTTCAGGATATCATCCATGAGAACTTCCCCAAACCAGCAAGGCAGGCCAATATTCAAGTCCAGGAAATACAGAGAACACCACAAAGATATTCCTCAAGAAGAGCAACCCCAAGGCGCATAATCATCAGATTCACCAGGCTTGAAATGAAGGAAAAAATGCTAAGAGCAGCCAGAGAGAAAGGTCTGGTTACCTACAAAGGGAAACCCATCAGACTCACAGCAGCTCTCTCTGCAGAAACCCTATAAGCCAGAAGAGAGTGGGGGCCAATATTCAATATCCTTAAAGAAAACAACTTTCAACCTAGAATTTCATATCTAGCCAAACTAAGCTTCATAAACAAAGGAGAAATAAAATCCTTTATGGACAAGCAATTGCTGAGAGATTTCATCACCCCCAGGCCTGCTTTTCAAGAGCTCCTGAAAGAAACACTAAACAAGGAAAGGAAAACCAGTACCGCCACTCCAAAAATGTACCAAATGGTAAAGACTATTGACACAATGAAGAAAATATGTCAACTAATGGGCAAAACAACCAGCTAGCATCAAAGTGGCAGGATTAAATTCACACATAACAATATTAACCTTAAATGTAAATGGACTAAATGTCCCAATCAAAAGACACAGACTGGCAAATTGGATAAAAAGTCAAGACCCATTGGTGTGCCACATTCCGGAAACGCATCTTATGTGCAAGGACACAAATAGGCTCAAAATAAAGGGATGGAGGAAGGTTTATCAAGCAAATGGAGAGAGAGAGAAAAAAAGCAGGAGTTGCAATCCTAGTCTCTGATAAAATGGACTTTAAACCAACACGGGTCAAAAGAGACAAAGAAGTGCATTACATAATGGTAAAAGGATCAGTGCATCAGGAAGAGCTAACGATCCTAAATATATACTCACCCAATACAGGAGCACCCAGGTACGTAAAGCAAATTTTTAATGACCTACAAAGAGACTTAGACTCCCACACAATAATAGTGGGAGACTTTAACACTCCACTGTCAATGTTAGACAGATCAACCAGACAGAAAATCAACAAGGATATCCAGGACTTGAACTCAGATCTGGACCAAGCGGACCTAATAGACATCTACAGAACTCTCCACCCCAAATCCACAGAACATACATTCTTCTCAGCACCACATCACACCTACTCTAAAATTGACCACATAATTGGAAGTAAATCACTCCTCAGCAAATGCAAAAGAACGGAAATCATAACAAACAGTCTCTCAGACCACAGTGCAATCAAATTAGAGCTCAGAATTAAGAAACTAACTCAGAACCGCACAGCTTCATGGAAACTGAACAACTGACTCCTGAATGTCGACTGGCTAAACAATGTTCTTACTTAGCAACAGTATCATGTTAATATATAATCAGGATCATTGAAATGATCACACACACACACAGAGTTAACATTAACATGTTCAAAACCACAGCATTCTACAATAGTTTGGTTTCCCCTGTGCTATAGAATGGGCCTATGGATAAAAAGTGTCTGTTTCTTTAAAAAGACAAAAGGTATTATCAACCCTATGGTTGTAAGAGACATGATAAAAAAGAAATAGGTTCTTACCAATAAGCAACGTTGAACACAGGGCTACTTGAAGCATTTTATAGGTCATGATCCTGTTTTTGGAGAAAAAAAAATTTATTAACTGGAAAAAAGCTTTAGGGTCTATTAGGTACTTTTCAGAAGTATAAAGCATTTGTTACATACCTGAAAGCCCCGTGACGGAGACACAAGTCAGAGAGAGGCCTTCGCCTGAGATGGCTTTTTAATATACCGCTTGCCTTTTTACCCTTTGGACTTTTTGAACTGACTTTTTACAGGCTGTTTTTATATGAGTCATTTATTTGTTTACTAATTTTATCATCTACATAGATTAATGTAATGTTTAAAAAAAGGTGGGAAAACTGGATCGCTCATGTGTTGCTGGTGGAAATGTAAAGTTGTCCAGTCACTTTGTAAAACAGTTTAGTAGTTTCTTAAAAATTCAGGCTTGTAATTACTGTTCAACCCAGAAGTTGCACTACTGGCATTTGTTTCAGGGAAATAGAAACTTATGTTCACAAAAAAATCTATATGAGAATGTTCATAACAGCTTTGTTAGCAATAGGCAAAGACTGGAAACAAGCCAGATAGCATTCAACAACTGAATGTTAAAACGTGATATAGCTATGCCATGGCTTACAACCAGCAGCAATAATAATAACTATTAAAAATAATAATTATTGGCTGGGTGTGGTGGCTCATGCCTGTAATCCCAATACTTTGGGAAGCTGAAGCAGGTGGATCACTTGAGGTCAGGAGTTCGAGACCAGCCTGGCCAACATGCTGAAACCCTGTCTCTATTAAAAATACAAAAATTAGTTGGGGATGGTGGCATGTGACTTTAATTCTAGCTACTTGGGAAGCTGAGGCAGGAGAATCTCTTGAATCTGGGAGGTGAAGTTTTCAGTGAGCTGAGATTGCACCACTGCACTGCCCAGCCTGGATGACAGAGTGAGACCCAGTCTCCAAAAAAAAAAAAAAAAATTATTATTATTATTATTATTAGAAAAACAAATGACCTCTAAGTTCAGTTTTGACAGAAACTACTGAGTTGCTGAGTCAATCTGGCAGCAAATCACCTGGCCTCTGGTACCTGCCTTGATCTGCCTTCAAAGCATGACTTTGAGCTACAGTTTGCCCTAAAGGTTAATAAATTCCGGTTCCCAAAGTTCTTTGACGTCTTCACATAATGGTACTATGTAAGTTCTGTGCTTCTAAAAAAATTTAAGACTTTCTTAACAACTATTAATATTATTATTGATTTTTATCAATATTGTATACAACTTGGACGAATCTCAAGGGAATTATGATGAGTGAAAACAGCAAATTCCAAATGATTACATATTGTATAATTCCACTTATATATTTCCTTGAAAATGATGAACTTACAGAAATTAAGAATAGGTTAGTGGTTGCCAAAATAGATTAGTGGATGAAAAGGGAGGTGGGTGTGGCTCATGAAAGGGCCATATGAGGAATCGTTGTGGTGATGAAACTGTTCTTTATCTTAGCTGTGGTGGTGGATGTGTGAACATACACGTGATCAAATTAAATGGGACTAAATACACATAGCACACACAGTCATCTCTCGGCACCTGCAGGAAACTGATACCCTCAGAATACCGAGATCCACTGATGCTTAAGTCCCTGATATAAAAAGATGTAGTAATTTCATATAAGCTATGTTCATCTTCCTGTATACTTCAACTCATCTGCAGACTATTTATAGTGACAGATACAATGCATACGCTATATAAATAGTTTTTCTACTTTGATTTTTAGGTTTTTTTTTTATTATTCTATTGTTATTTTGTATTGGTTTTCGTTCCCCAGATATTTGTGATTCACGGTTGGTTGAATCAGTGGATGTGGAATCTGAGGATGTGAAGGGATGACTACATGTAAAACTGGGGAAGTCTGCATGAAACCAGTGGATTTTATCAATGTCAGTATTCTTATTGTAATATTGTACTATAGTTTTGCAACATGTTATCTTTGGGAGAAATTTGGTAAAGGACACACATGATCTCTCTCTCTCTTCTTTCTTTCTTTTTTTTTTTTTTTTTTTTGCGACGGAGTTTCGCTCTTGTTACCCAGGCTGGCATGCGATGGTGGGATCTCGGCTCACCGCAACTCCGTCTCCTGGGTTCAGGCAATTCTCCTGCCTCAGCCTCCTAAGTAGCTGGGATTACAGGCACGCGCCACCATGCCCAGCTAATTTTTGTATTTTTAGTAGAGACGGGGTTTCACCATGTTGACCAGGATGGTCTCGATCTCTCGACCTCGTGATCCACCCGTCTCGGCTTCCCAAAGTGCTGGGATTACAGGCTTGAGCCACCACGCCCGGCCCTCTCTCTCTTATTTCTTACAAGTGTGTGTGACTCTACATATCTCAAAATAAAAATTTATTTAAAGCTGGTTGTGGTGGCTCACTCCTGGAATCTCAGCACTTTTTGAGGGGCCAAGGACGGCAGATCACCTGAGGTCAGTCTGGCCCACATGACGACACCTTCTACTAAAAATACAAAAATTAGCCGGACGGAGTGGCACATGCCTGTAGTCCCAGCTACTTGGGAGGCTGAGGCTGAAGAATAGCTTGAACCCATGAGTCAGAGGTTGCAGTGAGCTGAGATCATGCCACTGCACTCTAGTCTGGGCAACAGAGTGAGATTCCATCTCAAAAAAAGAGTTTAATTAAAATCAGGGAATGTTTTACTGTATTGTAAAATGTGTTTGTTTCCAACAAAAGTACATAATCAATACAACCAGAACACTACTTTCATTTTTCAAACAATTGCCCTTTTCAGTGGCTTAATTAATTGACTAAGTTCGTCACCATACAATTTGTTCTTAATGACGAATTATGCCTGTGTGCCAGTTTCATTAAGATTATGCAATCTGTAATGAGTTGGTATGGATCTATAAAAGTGGTAGAAAACAACTTTGTTGATGTCTATCTTCAAATTGTAGAGGGTGTTTAGAAACCCGAAGCTCCCTACCTGGGAGTTACGCCTCTGTTTACTGATAAATGAAAGGCTTTAGAAGACAGCTAGCTAGAAACACACACTGCAAACTCTTAGGCCATGTGTCCACCTATACAAGATTTTGGAGATGCAATAGCTGTTGCTACAATTCCTTAAGTCTCTATTACTTTTCCTTTGTAAAGAGGTATAAATTTTTAGTTGTGTGATAGACTAGAAGAATATCAAGAAAATCATGAAAGATACTTTTTTCCTCTTTTTCTTTTCTTTTTTAAAATTTTACTTTAAGTTCTGGGATACATGTGCAGAACATACAGGTTTGTTACACAGGTATACACGTGCCATGGTGGTTTGCTGCACCCATCAACCCATCATCTAGGTTTTAAGCCCCACATTGATTATTAGGCACTTGTCCTAATGCTCTCCCTCCTTTTGCCCACCCCCCACCACCCACAGGCCCTGGTGTGTGTGTTCCCCTCTCTGTGTCCATGTGTTCTCATTGTTCAACTCCCACTTATGAGTGGGAACAAATACTTTTGGTTTTCAAGCTGGAAGATTATAGAAGCAAAAGAGAAATTTATCTTTCTTTTCTCTACTTTTATCATTCTTCAACTTATAGACCTAAAATGAAGTTTGTCTGGAGGAGGAATGGGAGAGGGACTTTGCTTCCTATCTTTCTCACCTTACTTCTCTCAGTGGGTCATTAGTCAATTATTTTGGATGGGTTAGATAATGTAAATATAAAATAATAACAGCTATTCCACGAACGTTACATACATTGTCTCATTTAATACAGCAATTCTGTGGAGACAATATTATCATTAGTTTACAGATGAGTAAACTTAGGCTCTGAGAGTTTTCATAACTTGTCCAAGGAGTGTTCAGAAATAATAGGGTAAAGCTTTACAGCAGAAGTAGACATGCAGTTCATACAAAAGAGCATGAGCCAGAAAAATGAGACAAATGAGGTGAGTGTGGCCCCAACTGGGGCCAGAGGTGAATGTGGTCAGGGCAACTCAGTTTCATTGGGTAGGTACAGCTACAATACAAGAGCTTTCCTGGGCCAGAAACTGTTATCCTTTTTGGTGAATGAAGCCTTCCCTGATCCCCCAGTTCAGATTTGGCTGCTGTTTGCTACATCTGCATACCTTTAGTCATTAGATCTTGTTTTCCCTCATGATGGTTATGTAGGTACATTTCAGTATTTCCGAGTAGATTGCATGCTTCCCGAAGTTGGTACTACCTTTTACTGCTGTTTGTGTACCTTTAGGGCCTAGCACAGTGCCTGTCATATCATAGTTCTCAGTAAACATTACTGAACTTAATTCAATTAACTGATTCAAATTAAATTGAATTAATTTGAGTCAGTATTTTCCTGCACTGGCCTGTCAGTTTACAGCCTTATCTAACTGGCTATGGAAAACAAACATGATGTTGTAGTTTTGTTTTGATGTTGATGTTTGAGTTTTAAATAGTTTTCTCCAGAGCTTGTCTCTTCTTATGATCTATGAAAGAAAAAAGCCTAAATCCATGAATATTGGCAATCTCAATTATAAAGACACAGAAATGCTCTTTGAAATCAAATTGGAATATCTTTGAAAAATGGAAAGATCAAGTGGAAGGATTAATGAAGCTCATCAATGGAGTCTATTTACAACTCTGATGCTTTATACTTAGAAATCATTACTTTGATATGTTATGATAGACCTTGGTGAGCTCCCGTAGTCTCTTACATTATCAATGAAAAACAAATATTAGAAGAGAAACATGTGAAATCTGATCTGATATTATTTAAAATATTTTTTAAAATTATTATTATTTTTTAAGAGATGGGGTTTCACCATATTGGCCAGGCTGGTCTTGAACTCCTGACCTTGTGATCTGCCCACCTTGGCCTCACAAAGTTCTGGGATTACAGGCGTGAGCCACAGCACCCAGAAAAAATTTTTAAAGAAGGAAAATATACAGGTTTAAAAAAAAACCTTTTGGCAGGGTGCGGAGGCTCATGCCTGTAATCCCAGCGCTTTGTGAGGCTGAGGCAGGTGGATCACCTGAAGGGAGAAGTTCGAGACCAGCCTGGCCGACATGGTGAAGCCCCATCTTTACTAAAAATACAAAAATTAGCTTGGCATGGTGGTGCATACCTGTAATCCCAGCTACACAGGGGGCTGAGATAGGAGAATGGTTTGAACCAGGGAAGCAGAGGTCGCAGTGAGCCGAGATTGTACCACTGCACTCCAGCCTGGGTGACAGAGCGAGACT